ATAACTATTCGGTGTAATGGGTGAGAAACCCTGAAACGTTTTCACATTTCCGCCTGCCATGACCCAAGGGAACGGTCCTGGACCAGGAGAAAGGACACCTCCGCAAAGGGCTAAGGGTGCAGGAGCTCCAGGGTGGATCACCTGTGCAGAAAAGTGGGCAGGTAGTGTGGAATGTAGGACATCCACCGGTCCTTATCAAAAGTACGCTCGAAATGAGTCGTTCACTTATTATCTTATCCGTAGTGTTCGATAGCCCAAAGAACTGCTCTCTAGTACTACGGATAAGATAGCAATGGAGTGGCCCCCCCGAACTGGAGTTTCACCCATTTATTCAAGTTGACCATTAAGTCAAAATTCCTAGCCCACTCATCAAGCTTCTCGATAGATTGTTCAAGAGCTCTAGAGACCTCGTCACGATTGTTTTCGTTGTAGCAACCATATATCTTCACATCATCCGCGTAAACCTGCACTCTGATATTTAGTGAGGTTTTGAGAAGCTGTGGTAGCTCAATTGTATATAAAAGAAACAAAAGTGGAGATAGAGCACCACCCTGGGCACACCACTCGTGCAATGATGTCTCTTGGAGTAACCACAACCTACTCTGACAGTCATATATCGATCACACAAATACGATTCCATCCATTTCAGTAGACGACCACCAATTCCTAATCTTTTGAGAGTCTGTAGCAGTTTTTGATGATTGACTTTATCAAATGCCTTCGACAAGTCAACATAAACAACATCGACAGATTCACCGCGATCCAAGGCGAGTTTCCAATCAAACAAGCTATCAACCAGATTGGTGGTGGTACTAGCTCCTGGAAGAAAGCCGTGTTGCTCTGGTGGGATAAGATTGAACTTACTACACCAGGTCAACATTTTCTCTCTTATCAACTTTTCCATCACTTTAACTGGAGTGGGTGTAATACTTATTGGTCGGAATTCAGATACGGACTGCGCCTTTGAAATTTTGGGGATAGCCGTAATCAGCGCTTCTTTCCAGATCTGAGGAACCTCGCTCAACATAAAAGAAACGTTGAAGATGTGTGCCAGAGGCTTAGATAGCGAAGAAGCGCATTTTTTGAAGACAATAGGGGGTATCCCATCGTAAGGTTCTGTTGTAGAAGGTTTGAGACGTCTGAGTAGTTTGCAAATGTCAGAAGGGTAAAAGTAGAAATTATCACAAAGTCGCTGGGCGGGTGAATCGCTAGCAACACCAGCCAATGGTTCATTAGATGAACCTTCTCCAGAGGAACCTTGTTTCGAAAAAGACACTCGCGAAAAACTCGCCTAAGGCGATAGCCTTGCTGGCTTCTGAATGACATGCTATTCCATTTTGGTCAATCTCTCAAACTGTCGCTGAGGCTGTGGACGAGGACAAGAGGTCTCGCAGCTTGGGCATCTCGTGGATGTGGATATCCAGATCGGTACCTGTCGACCGCTTTCTGGCAGACAGCGTGAACTTGAGGCAAAGGTAACGGAGGTTTTGGATTTTCTCGGCGTAGAGTGGACTTGTGCAGGTCTTCCGCATGGGTAATCCGGCAGTGAGCGTCCACCTTTGGTCACTACCGTCTATAAGCCAGTGGAGTAACAGCACTTCAAGCGGTCACCGCTCGCGTACTTCCGCCTTGTCAGAGGTGTACGTGCACATAACTCTGACCCGTGCTAAGCGCGATCGGGAGATCCAAGTTGAGGCAAGAGTGCAAAGCACGCAATGTGCAATTAAAAATCCGTGTGTGGGTGGTGTACTGTGGCGAATTGAGGCGCGTTACGACAATACGCGCCACGACATCGTTTTCAAGCAGAGACACAGGCATTCGAAATAAAGGAGATTCTACGATAAGGACGAAGCTCGAAGAAGGGGAGATTTCTAGTGGACGAACAGGTGGAGATCCCAGGGGTGTGGACCGACACGCAATCCGCATCAAAGGATAGAGATACTTTGAAGAGTTAGCATGACCATCTCGCACCGCTGCTGGCGCGGTACGCCCCCCCCCCCCACACTTCCCGCTGTCCGAGCCTCTAGCCGCTTAGCAGATAGAGCGTTACCGTTGAAGAGTGCTGCACCGATGACAGTCGCATCAATGCGGAAATCAAGAAGCAAGGTGATCTCAATTCTATCTTTCTAAGCAGTCTCTTTTTTTCTTCTTTAGTACATCACTGACCATCTCTGACCCATTTCCAACGGGCTGGCTTCACCGTG